CTCTGCTTGTTTGCGTGCGCATGCTGGAGCATGGCGACCGGGTGTGCGACGTCCAGAAACGTCCACGCGCGGTCCTCGTTCGTGCGGAGGACCGGACAGACCCCGAGATAGGCTCCTTGAAAGTCCCGCTGGGGCCGTGACGGGCTGGTGGGCGTGGCAGGCGAGCGCAGCGGCATGGCACGCGTTGGTGTCGTCGGCGTCGTTGGCGACTGTGGTTGCGAGTGCAACGGGGATGATGACGATGGTGGTGATGCTGATGTGCCGTGTGGTGGCAGTGGTGGTGCCGCGGTGTTGAAGCGAAACGCAATGGCGCGTGGATCGAGCGACGATGAGCGCCCAATGGTGGATGCAAACCCCTGCGGGGACAGCGCTGCTGCTGCCGTTGTTGTCGGCGCAACTGTCCGCGCCCCTGCTGCTTTTGAGCCGGGTGATGACGGCGACGTTGGGGACTGCGCTGACTGTGCGTGTGCGTGTGCGTGTGGCTGTGGTTGTGACTGGGCATGCGTGCGCGCGCGTGCGTGTGTGCCTGGACGTGCTGGTGTGCCCTTTCTCGCCATATTTGACAGCGACAGCGACCGCCCGCCCATTTTCTGCCGCTGCCGCCGCTGCTGTTGGTGTTGGTGGTGTTGGGGTGGGGTGACGAGCTGCATCTGTGCATTCAGCGGTGCTGGTGGTAGCGGACGGCTATGGCGGTTGTGATGATGGTGGTGTCCACCACGACCTGCACGCGTTCCCTGGCTGAGCGGCGACGCTGCAGATGAAGCGGCTGCGGCGATGGATGTGGTGGCAGCCCGCGAGCGGAATCGTGGCGTGGCCTGCCTGAAACGCGGCCGTGCGTCGCTGGTGGCAAGCGTGCCATGCCTGCGGATGGGGGAACGCTTGACAGGGGACGTGTGTGCGCTGGAGGAGTGAAGGGTCTGCAAAAGATCGGGCGAGTAGAGGAGGCCCAGGTTGACGGTGTCACCGCTGGTGCGGATCATCTCCACCACCTCCAGCCGTGACTTGTGCAACACGTTGTGTCCGTTCACATTCACGATGCGGTCCCCGACACGCACGCCAGCAGACTAGCATTCACGAGAGCGACGAATAAAAGAAGAGGAAGACATGAACGATGTGTGTGTGTGTGTGTGTGTGTGTGTGTGTGTGTGTGTGTGTGTGTGTGTGTGTGTGTGTGTGTGTGTGAGCGTGTGTGAGAGAGAGGGAGGGAGGGATGGGAGGTATGACTGTTAGTTTGGACACAGTCATCGCCACAAGGAAACGCAGTCATCACAGCTAATAGCATCCAACGACAAGCAAGCACACGTACACACATGCACACATGCACACATGCACACACACACACACACCTCTGCCGGGCCGTGTGGCTGTAGGGAGGTGACAACGGTCTCATCGCGGCCATCTACCACGAGACCGAGGCCGTTTGGCGACCGGACGATGCGCACCTGTCGCGCATCCGACATCGCTACAAGCATGTCGTGCGTGCGTGTGTGTGTGTGTGTGTGTGTGTGTGTGTGTGTGGCGATGTGTTGGGGTTGTTTGATCGTGAGTGCCGCGCACAGGAGCCCCAAACAATGGCTCGCGGTTAACCAAGGCATGCCCACACCGTGCCACGCACGCACCGCCTCACCCATCAACACACCCATCAACACACACCCGATTCATCGAGCACGCACATCGCAACCCCTCCTCGTTCGCCTCTGCCTCGCACCCCACACCTGTCTTGCTTGTTGCTTTGCCTTTCCTTTGGCCGTTTCGTTGTTCGAAACAATCCAAATTTGAAGGCAAATTTGACGTTGGCGCACAAGGTAAAAATTGACTTTGGAGAAACAAGAGAAGAAGAGAAAGCGGAAACAGCAAGAGGATACGAACGTGTTCGCGCCAAGCAAGCAAGCCACTGCTGCACGCAAGCTGAGATGTCTGTGGCAGGGAGCTGGCAGCGGCTTCGGCTGCACACAGTGGACCAAGACCAACTGGTATGTTGGATGTGCGTGCGTGTGTGATTGTGTGAGTGTGTGTGTGTGTGTATGTGTGTACACTGCATTGTGCACTGCTTCTGCGTGTGTGTGTGTGTACGTGTGCGTGCGTGTGTACACTGCATTGTGCACTGCTTCTGTGTGCGTACGCGTTCCTTCCACTTGCCGTTTGTCCCCTTCTTTTATGTCTCTCCCTGTCTCTCATTGCACGATGCCACGACCCGTCTGTAGGGTGAGAGCGATCTGCGGGTACACATGTCTGCCGCGGACGTGCTGTTGGCGCTGACGAGCACGACAAGCGCGGACCGGGAGGTGCTCAAGGCAGACCACGACCTGCTGTACCACCGATACGCAGACGTCGTGGACGCGCGCCCCATCCCAAAGATGCAGCCCATCCAGACCTCCTACATCACCTTGCACGACATCAAGGCCATGGCACAGGAAAAGCAACAGCAACGGCAACGCGAGGAGGAGGAGCAGCAGCAGCAGCACGAAGGAGACGACAACGGCGTCATGGACACCAGCACTGACAATGCCGAGCAGCCGCCGAAGCAGGTAGGCGTTGAATGCATGTGTGTATGAATGCGTGTGTCTGGTTGTTTGTTTGGTTGTGTATGTATGGTTGTGTGTATGTGTGTGCATGTGTGTGTGTGTGCTTGTGTGTGTGTGCGTGTGCTTGTGTGTGTCTGTGTCTGTGCATGTGTGTCTCTGTGTGTCTGTGTGTATGTATGTGTGTGTGCTTGTGAGGAGACACTGGCGCCTGTGCATTCCACATGCCTTTTTTTCCCATCTCACTGCTCTCTTTTGCATTTGTCAGTGGGATTGGACGTTCCTGGGACCCGTGCAACAGCAGCCACCGCCACCACAACGCCCACAGCAGCCACAACAGCAACAACCGCGCCAACTGCCGCCAAACGTGCGCGAGGAGCTGCTGCACCTGAAGCGGGAGAATGCGAAGATGACGCGTGCCCTATCCACGATGCAGGCCAAGGAGGCCGCGTTACAGGAGCGCGTGCGGCACCTCCAGCGCGAGAACGCAGAGGCTGCAACCAAACGCGCAAAGCGCGCCAACGAGTATCCAGGTCCGTCCAGTCACCACCACAACTACCATAACCAGCACCAGCACCAGCACCAACACCCTCGCGCCTTCCACGGCAGGTCACGGAGCAGGGGTGCTGGTGACGACGACGATGACGACGGCGACCACGCGCGATCAGCGTCGCCATTCCTCACAGCAGCAGAGCAGCTGGTGGGTGCACATGTGTGTGTGTGTGGTGAGTGTGTGTGTGTGTGCATGTGTGATGTAGGTGAGGCAATAGGCCACGTCTGCGCATGTACGTCACTGTTGTCGCAGTTGATCCCCTCGCCGTACCTGCACCTCACACATCCCACAATGACAGCATCGGGACCAGGCGAAGAAGCGTGGCAATGGAAATAGTGGTGGTGGTGGTGGCGGTATGGGCGGTGCACGGCGCCCAGGCCTCTCCCGCCCACCCGGCAGGAAGTCAGGTGGGTACATGTGTGTGTGTGTGTGTGTGTGTGTGCGTGCGTATTGGTGCAGGTGTCACTTGCTATTTTGTGATCACAACACCACCGCACGCTCGCCTTTTCGCACATTGTATAATTCCTCCACACACTCACACACACGCACACACACACACTCACACATACGCACACGCACACGCACACGCACACGCACACACACACGTCCACCGCCACGACTTGTGTTGCTCTCACCTCAAACAGTCAAGTCCAGCTTCGTGTCGCCATTTCGACAGGACGAACGAAACAGCAGCAGCAGCGGTGGGCAGCGACGACGACCAAACGACAGCACAAACAGTAGCGGCGGTGGCGATCAGAGCCGGTTCCTGAAGAACGTGGACGAAGCGCTGGTGGAGCGCATTCGAAGCGAAATCATGGAACACAACCCAAACATTGCGTGGGACGACATTGCCGGTTTGGAGGAGGCAAAGCGCGCCATCCAGGAGATGGTGGTCTGGCCCATGATGCGCCCGTGAGTTGGAATTTGGGGGGGGGGGGGCGTGTGTTTGGAGAGGTGTGTGTGTCTGTGTGTGTGTGTCTGTGTGTGTGTGTGTGTCTGTGTGTGTGTGTGTGTATGGAGTGTGTGTGCCTTTCTGTCTGTGTGTGTGTGTGTGTGGCAAGACTATGCATCATTTCACGTGTCAGTCACCGCGACGCTTCCTTCCTTCGTTCATCCCCTAATTAACCTCCATCACGTGACAACAGCGACCTGTTCAAAGGGCTGCGTGCCATGCCCAAGGGCGTGCTGCTGTTTGGACCCCCAGGAACAGGCAAGACCCTCATCGGCAAGTGTATCGCAAGCCAGGTGAGCTGCGTGATAGCGGTGGTGGTGGTGGTGGCGGTGGTGGCGGTGGTGTGTGTGTGTGTCGCTGTGTGTGTGTGTGTGTGTGTGTGTGTGTGTGTCAATGGATCGCTCGCTGGAATCAGTGCTGCTGACGTGCACGCGTGGTCACAATATTCAGTCCAAGGCAACGTTCTTCTCTGTCAGCGCTTCCTCCCTCACGTCAAAATGGGTGAGGTGCTTGTTGATGTGCGTGTGAAAGTGTGAGTGTGAGAGTGGAAGAATTTGTATGTATGTGCGTGTGAACTCGGTTGTGCTCGCTTGCCTCGAACCTCAATGCAACTCAAGTCGCAACAGCTCACCACCACCACCACCACCACCACCATCACCACCACCACCACCACCACCACCACCACCACCACCACCACCATCATCACCGCCGCTGCAACCGATGTGCTCAGATTGGGGAGGGCGAGAAGTTGGTGCGGGCGCTGTTTGCGGTGGCGCGCGAGTCACTGCCATCAGTCATCTTCATCGACGAGGTGAGAGCGGGGAGGAGGAGGAGGAGGAGGAGGAGGAGAGTTATGTGAGGAGTGGTGGTGAGGTGGTGAGGTGGTGAGGTGTGGTGGGGTGAGACGAGGAGGAGGAGGAGGAGAGGTATGTGAGGCGGTGGGGTGAGGCAAAGAAGGTAGCGTTGGCAAGTATTGTCGGCATGCAGGCAAAGCAAGAAGACTTGCGTGCATGTGCCTGCTCACTTCATCACCCACCACGCTCCATGCATCAGATTGATTCGTTGTTGACGCAGCGGGTGGAGGGCGAGCACGAGAGCTCCCGCCGCATCAAGACTGAATTCCTCGTCCAGCTGGTGCGGGCTGTGTGTGTGTGTGTGTGTGTGTGTGTGTGTGTGTGTGTGTGTGTGTGTGTGTGTGTGTGTGTGTGTGTGTGTGTGTGTGTGTGTGTGTGTGTGTGTGTGTGTGTGTGTGTGGATGCGTGTGTGTGTGGATGCGTGGGTGTGGGTGTGGGTGTGGGTGTGGGTATGTGGGTGTACTTGACATTGTGCTTGGCACCGTACTCGACACTGAACTTGACACTGTGCTTGACACGAGTTTTGCAAGTGTGCGTTTCGTTTGGTGTAGCTTTGTAGCCTTGTAGCCTTGAATCCGTTGCGTATCGTTGACATCTCGTCATCGCATATTGTCATGACTGTCTGTTCGCTCGATTCGTGATCAGGACGGCGCGTGCACGACAAAGGAGGAGCAGCTGCTGATTATCGGCGCAACAAACCGGCCGCAGGTGCGTGTGCAGTGGCGGTGATGGCGGCGGTGTTGCTGTAGCAGCAAGTCTTGTTCGCGCTGCTGTCATTTGAGTGACACTCACTCAATCACTCACCCACTCACTCACACACACACACTCACTCACTCCACTCACTCACTCACTCACTCACTCACTCACTCACTCACTCACTCACTCACTCACTCACTCACACCACTACCACCACCACCACAACCACCACCACCATGCCCAGGAGCTTGATGAGGCTGCGCGGCGGCGACTGGTGCGACGGCTGTACATCCCGCTGCCGGACAAGAGCGCACGGCGGCAGATTGTGGTCAACCTGCTGTCCCAGGACCAGGCATACACGCTCTCCGACACCGATCTTGATGCCATCTGCGACATGACGAGTGGATACTCCGGGTCTGATATGGACTACCTCTGCAAGGTGGGCTGAGAGGGAGGGAGGGTATGGTGTATTTGTGTGTGTGGGGGGGGGGTAGGTGTGTGTGTGTGTGTGTGTGCACATGTGTGCTTGCAGCATGTAGTCACCTGTAATCATCATCGTCGTGCATCTGTCCCTCGTCGTGTGTGCCCGCGTGTGTGACAGGAAGCGGCGCTGTGCCCGATTCGTGACATCAAGGACATCAATATGATCTCCTCAGCAGACGTGAGTTGAAGCGAGACAGAGAGGGGGAAGGGGGAAAGAGAGGAGTGCGTGGTGATACTCGGCGTGTTGCTGTGCCATGTTGAAGTGTGCTGCATGGAGGTGGTCATGTTTGTTTGTTTGTTTGTTTTCACCACTGACGACAACAACAAGAACAACCACACACACACACACGCACACACACGCACACACACACACACACACACACACACACACACCTCTCCAACCAGGTGCGGCCCATCTGCCTGGACGACTTTCGACAGGCGGCGCGACAGGTGCGGCCCAGCGTGTCGCAGGCCCAGATCAACGCATACGTCGAGTGGGACCAGCAGTTTGGCTCGCACCTCGGATCCGCGTGACAAGCACGACTCTAGGGTACAGTGGAGAATGGGTGGCGGTGGTGCGTGTGATGTACATGATTGAATGCACTGAAAGTAAAGACGTAAGCGAGAGCGCAACCGTCACCGGGGGGGGGGGGGACAATGGCAATACAAGAACCAACAGTTCGTCAAATCACCAAACAATCCGCCGAAAAAAGCTGCCGTCTCTTGCAGGCCTGATCCTCGGCGTGTGCATCTGCTTCACCTTTGGGCGCCAGTGGTGCGGTGGCCTCTTCTCCTGATGGGGGCGGCAACCGCGGTGGACGGCGTGACGAAGATGGCATGGTGGCACAATGTGCTCATGATTTGGTGATGGTGCCATATATTGCTTGCTCGAGTGGTAATTAATGGCTGATTGCTTGCTTGGTGGCTTGATTTGATGGCTTGGTTGCTTCATGTGTATGAGTGAGTGGATGATGACTGCCTTCTTTTTCGTTTCACCGATCTTAAGTGTGCTTCATGAGCCCGCCGTTTTGCTTCCTTCATTTGCTTGTCCGTGCCCGTCTTGAGAACCGACATAAACAACACAAACCGCACACACGCGGCAAGCGCGACCACACACGCCTGCCCCCACTCCGCACCTGTGACATGAGTTCACACCACTCGTGCAAGTCCACCACAAGTCGCCCATTCCAAACATCTCACCCCCTTTCGGCACCAATGTGTCTTTCATCTCCAAACACACTGCACAGGATCCAGACTTTTCGATCAAGGAAGTCATGGCGTGTCACGTCATGTCATGTCAGATGTCACGTCACTCTTTTATGCACGGGATAGACGCATA